GTTACTTCTCTTGTCAACCTCCGATGGTTGACTCGCCGTTGTTCCTCTGTAGTTCTCTTCGCTTGTAGTTCGGTGTTACGACACATAAGAAGCGTTTAATTAATTGTTTCCAACAGAAAATTCCCAAACCTCGGCGCTAGGCCCGTAGCGCACCCCAATTTCCCGCATTACCGTTACCACGCTAGCTTCGCTATATAACTTCGCTCATGCTTTTCGCTCAACTGTATTGTTTGCTTCGATAGTGCAACTCTCGCTCGTTCGCTTGATTGCACTCGTAACACTTGGTATTCAGAGCCTACGATCTCCTCTCGGACCGCACCCACACCTTCGCTTCCCCACTATCTCAACTTTTTGGGGGGTAGACGTCTCTCAGCGAACAAACACCGCCGCTCGAAGTGCTCTCTCGTAAGCATGCACGGCCACGACAGAGGCTCTCGCTAAGCTTGCCCGACACCCTCGCCATGGCCGAAATTAATCGTGCGACATTGACGCATGAGCAGCTCGACCGTCTCGTGCGCCAACTCGAAGGTTCGGCGCTCGAAATTGCGACACTCACAGCGGAACGCGACTCCGCTCGCCAGCAATCGACGGTGAGTGCACCAGCACCAACACACGCACCTGCAAATGCACCTCCACAATCGGAGGAGCCGATCGTCATCTCATCAGGCACACTGACACAAAACGACAGCGTGGGACAGTGATGGCGCCGCTCACTCAATGCCTGGCATGGAGAGGAACAGGGCCGCACCAAGCACACAAGGGCCTCGCGAGGCCCGTCGGCACGTGGAGTTTGCCGCAATGAGTGGCAACAACGACGGCGTGGCGCCGATGCCACTCAAGCCGCAGCGCCCGCCCTGTTTTGATCCTACCCAACGTGGAGGTCCGACAGTTCAATCGTGGGTCTTCACGATGAACGTCTTCTTCGACGCGAATTACGTCGAGTCGGACGCAGCGAAGATTCGCTATGCTGTTTCGTTGCTGAGGGGCCCCGCCATGGACTGGTGGCGAGTCATCGTGACGTCGCCACGCGCCTACGAGCCGCCGTCGTAAGAGGGAGGGCCCACGGGTCCAGTCGTCATCTGGAGTTCTTTCTGCGAAACTGCCCAGTACAGCACGTGGGATGCGTGGTGCGCAGGGCTTCGGGCGCGCTTCGAGCCGATTTCGGCTTCTATTTCAGTGCGTCAGAGACTGCGTACTTGGCGACAACTCAGGTCGGTCCAAGACTATACGAGCGGTTTCCTCGCATTATGCGAGCAAGTCGGCTACATGCACGAAGCGGAACGGGTGGACCGTTACGTCGGAGGGTTGAAGCCGGACATCTCGCACGAAATCATGCTATGCGGGCTCTCTAACTTCAACGAGATCCTTGCGCTCGCCGAGAAGATCGATATCCTACGCCGACCGAGACCGGGGTTCTACTACGGACTCGGGGACCGGCCGAGCACGCCACTGTACACGCTGTTGCAGCAAATGCAGCTGCCGCGCCATTTAAGGGGCGCTTCTTTTTTTGCAATAGGCCGGGCCATCGCAAGTGCGAATGCCCAGAGGAGCTGAGGCGCCGCGGAGCAGAGCAGGGGAGGGAGTCTCAGAGGCAGGGAAACGCCAGCAGTCAGTAGAAATCGGGCCAACTACTGACGAGACAACTTGCTCGCCCAATCTCACCGACCCTCGCCGAGTCACAGTACCGATTCACGCTATCGATCGGGCTCGGATGAATAAGGATGGTACAGCGACGGATTGCCCAGTACTGATTCACGGGAAAATACAAGGAGCAGCAGTGAAGATTTTTATAGACGGAGGAGCCAGTCACAGCTTAGTTAATACTGCAACCGCACGGAAGCTGCAACTGACACTTAGTCGTTGTTTACCGGAGGTAGATGCACGCTTAGTCGACGGCACGCCGCTGTCCGTACGGGAGAAAGTGGAGAGAGTAAAAGTCCGATGCGGGGGGAACTTTGGGTTTACACAGGAAATGCTCGCGACGACACTGGATGGGCACGACATTTTACTGGGACATGATTGGCTCCAACGCTACAATCCGCGAATCGACTGGACGGCGAGTAGCTGCACTGTGCGAAGTAGCGGTAACTGGGTCGAGCTACCTCGCTGGCAGTCGCCCGAGTCTTCAACGGTCCACGTCAACGCCATCACAATGAAAAGGGCCGTCGCCGCTGGAGCTGACGTGTACGCGGTGGATATCACATTGGTAGGAGAAGCAGAGAAGCCGAGTGATTTTCAGAAATTGATGGCAGCGGTACCGCCCAAACTACAGGAACCGTTGAAACAGTACCCGGGGATTTTTCTGGACGATTTACCAGAGGGACTGCCACCTCAGCGGGCACATGATCACCGAATCGAATTAGAACCGGGGGCACAGCCAACTCTACAGCGACAGTTTCGACTGACACAACCCGAGCTCGATGAACTGAGGAAGCAACTAGATTACCTGTTAGAGAAGAAATTCATCCGACCGAGTTCATCGCCGTTCGCCGCACCGATACTGTTCACACCGAAAAAAGAATGAGGGTTTCGTATGTGCATCGATTACAGAGCACTGAACACAATAACAGTCAAGTCGCGATACCCTATTCCCCGCGCCGACGAACTATTAGATCAACTACGAAAAGCACGGGTCTTTTCGAAAATAGATTTACGGGGAGGTTACCACCAGATTCGGGTCGAACCATCGGACTGCGCCAAGACGGCATTTAGATCTAGGTATGTCAAACCTGTCAGAATCAGCAGGCAGGAATGATAGAAACAGAAAGAGGTGATTGCACTAGCAGCAGGTAGGATACATATAGCAAACCCTAATTTGGGCTGTACTCAGTATAGAGTACCCCACTGCAGACTAGACAATTATAGCATTCTGACACACCCCCATAGGCAAAGTGGGGTATGATCAGCACAGCAAGCAGTCGCATAAGAAGTTCACAAGCACAAGCAAAGCTAGAGGCAGTCACAGAGGGCAAGTGAGGAGGAGGAGGGACTGTGAGAGGAGCGGAGATAGGAGGCGACGGGTGAAGCCGCAGACACACGGGCAACAGGAGCGGCGCGCACGGTGGCTACCGGAGCAAGGGCCCCGGACTACAGGAGTAACTGGCTCCGCGGCTAAGACGAGCAGCAAGAGCAACGGACCCACGGGCGACTGGCGCAGCAGGCTCGCTGGGCTACCGGAGCAAGGGCCGCGGACTACTGGCGCTGCTGACGTCACGACGGCTACCTCCGCTCAACCTCCCCCAACTGTCCCACACCCCTTTCACAAACCCCTTGCTGCACCTCTAGCTCCACTCCCACGTCACCCCCCTAGCGCCACTCCCTCGGCTCCCACACACCCACCCCCCTCAGCGGCAGCTGCAGCAGTGGGAGACGGAGGAGGAGGAGGAGCAGGGGACGGCTGACACACCCGCCACCCCCATACCCCCAACGCAGGCGGCGCGCGTGCAGCGCGGGGCAGATACGCGGGCAGCAGCTGGGGCGGCGTGCGAGCGGAAGCGGGGCGGCGCGCGGGCTTCCAGGGCGCCGCGACGGGCGACGGGAGGGGGCGACGCGCGGGCCCCCAGGGCGCCGCGACGGGCGACGGGAGGGGACAGCGCGCGGGCCCCCGGGGCGCCGCGACGGGAGCCCGGGGCGACGCGACGGGTGCACGGGGGGCGACGCGACGGGAGCCCGGGGCGGCGCGACGGGAGCAGTAAACCGCCGCGCGCCCGAAGCGCGCGGCGGGCAGAAAAATCGCCGCGCGCACCGCCATGCGCCCCGAGCGCGTGGCGGGAAGAAAAAACGTCGCGCGCCACGGGGCGCGCGAAAGACAGAGCAGCAGCGGAAGCAGGTGTGCCCACAGGCTAGGAGCGTACTCGCTCTGATAGCATGTCGAGAAACGCTAGCAGAAAGTTAAGAAACAAAAAGAGGTGATGACTAGCAGCAGATAGGATACATATAGCAAACCCTAATTTGGGATGTACTCACTATAGAGTACCCCACTGCAGACTAGACAATTATAGCATTCTGACAAAACTTATATGTTACATGTTGTGTAGGCTATAGTGGGGTAGCCCATATGGAGTACAACCCAATTAGGGTTTGCTACTTGACTCCTGCATGCAACTAGTTCATTCATTCTCGTTCTCCTGCATTTTGTTGACAGGACTTGCCCCAGGTGTTTCCTGATCCCAAGGTGATACCACCCTGATTACCCTTCCCGCGCGACTCCCAATGCCTTCAACGAAATACTGTGACGAAGGTGAGGGTTACACATCATCGTTCGAATCCGTCTCCATTATCACACCACAGCTGCTGACAACAAACAAACTGTCATAATCCCAGCCACTAGACCACTGGGATAAAAGGGCTTGTTAAGTAGCGGGTCCGTGCGCCCATAACTGTCAAATTGTAATTGTATACTCTAGGGTGTAGTGGGGCATACTCTAGTGAGTACAACCCCTTAGGGTTTCCTACTTGTACTCCCAACCCTAATCAATACCGACTTCACTTCTTGACATGGTTTCAGAGTAGGTCCCGGTTAGGACCGTTTTTTTTAGGGCCCACCGTTAATTCCGCTTGTTCCTGCCCGTAGCGCCCTTGCGCTGTCCTGCCCTGCCCGAAGAGAGTCGCGCTGCCCTGCTGTCACGCGCTCTGCCTGCCCTAGCACGCTGCCTGCTGCACGCGCTGCTTGCCTTAGCGCGTCGCGCTGCCCTGCTCGCGCTGCCTGCAAGCGCGCTGCCCGTGCTCGCTGCGCGCCCTGCCTGCCCGCGACGCCTTCTGCTCGCAAGCTGCCCCTGCTGCTCGCGCGCTGCATTTGCTGCCCGCGCGCTGCTCGCCCTGCCCGCGAACTGCCTGCGTGCTGCTGTGCCTGAGCTACTGCTGCCGCACGCGCTGCTGCGCTGTGCCCTGCCAACCGCGGTGCCGCGCGCTGCTGCTGCTGCTGCTGCTGCTGCTGCATACGCTGCTGCTGCTGCGCAGCTCCTGCCCGTCGCGCTGCCGCTGCTGCGCCTGAGCTGCTGCTACCGCTCGCACTGCGCTGCTGCTGCTGCTGCTGCTGCTGCTGCTGCTGCTGCTGCTGCTGCTGCTGCTGCTGCGCATGAGCTGCTGCTGCTGCGCTGTGCCCTGCCGAGCCGCACCGCGCCGCGCCGCCCTGCCCAAACTGCGCCGCGCCGCGCCGCCCTGCCCGAACCGCGCCGCCCTGCCCGAGCCGCGCTGTCCTGCCCCTACAGAGCTGCACTACTTTGTTGCTGCTGCTACTGCTACTGCTGCTGCTACTGCTACTGCAGCTGCTGCCACTACCGTTCTGCTGCTATGGCGACCCCTACCATTCTCACCTTTGACGGAGAGGGTCACCCGGTAGACTTCGAATCCTGGTTAGAGGATCTCCACTGGTACCTGCAGAGCCAGACTAGGGAGGATGTCTCGCATTTTGAGCATACCTCTGGGACCCTAGACGCCCCTGCTGCCACAGCTACTCGTGTAGACCAGTCCAGGTGGGCGTCTCGTGACGCTACTGCTACTCTTTTTGTCCGTAGCCACCTTCCGCTAGACTAGCGCTCCCACTTTTGCCAGCTTAAGACGGCCAAGGCGCTTTACGACGCCGTAGTCACACGCTACTCGTCCCCGTCGTCTGCCACTATAGGCCGTCTAGCGCTGCCGTTCCTCTTTCCCGAGCTGTCGGACTTCACCACTGTAGCCGACCTCATGACTCACCTGCGCTCCCTTGAGACCCGCTACACTGCTGCCCTCGAGCCCACCTTTAGGGTTGAGAACAAGCCACCTATTTATCTCACCCTTTACTTCCTCACGACCCGCCTCCCTTACTCCCTTCGTGCCATACGCGACCACTTCCTCGCCCTAGACCCCACGAAGATCACCCTCGACACGTTCGAGTCCCGTCTCTTAGAGGTAGAGTTCGCTGCCCTAGTTGTTGCTGCCTCTCGTGGCACTCCCCACCCCTCTGTCTTTGAGGGGTGCTCCCCCTCCCTGCTCGCGTCATCTGTTGCCTCTGCTGCTGCTGTTGACCTCTTCGGTGCTGAGGAGGTCGGTGCTGCTTCTGCTCCTAGCGGGAAGCGCCGCAGTGGCAAGGGCAAGGGTGGCAAGGGTGGGGGGGGCGGGGGTGGTGGGGGTGGCGAGGGCAGCGGTGGTGGCGGTGGAGGTGGTGGGGGAGGAGGAGGTGGAGGCGGCAGGGGAGGAGGCGGGGGTGGAGGGAGTAGTGGGGGTGGTGGAGGTGGTGGGGGTGGCACTAGGGGTGGAGCTGGAGGAGGAGGGGCTGGAGGTCCGGCCACTCGTTCAGCTGCGTCTGGTGGTGCAGCGGGGGGTGGAGGTGGCTCTGGGGGTGGCCAGCAGCAGCAGACGAGCCGCCAGGCGCAGCTCTTGCCGCAACAACTTCGTGAGTGGGCGATCCGCCGTGGCAGCCCAGGTGGCCCACCTCGCTGCGGGTATGTCCGTCGCACAGGTCAGCCTGAAGCGACCTGCACTCGCACCGACCACACCTAGTCTCGTTGCTTCTTTCGCCTCGACGATCTGTATCGTGCGGAGCATGGTGAGCACATGAAGACTCCTGACTGGCTCACTTTGCTGAGCCAGTACATAGATGTTTTTGCTTGTGACTGGGCTGTGATCCATGCTGGCATGTATGCGATGTATGCTGTTTCTGCTAGTGTTGAGGAGGACTGTTACTTGTGTGTGCCTAGAGTTTCTAGGGTAGAGGCTGCTAGCCTTGGTGCTTTTGACTCAGCTAGCACAGGTGCAGAGCTCGAGGAGGCCTTGCACACTTTTACTCTCGACTCAGGCGCGTCTCGTTGCTTCTTCCGCGACAGCACCACAGTCACACCGCTCACAGTCCCTGTCCCTGTCACACTGGCCGACCCCTCCGGGGGCCCGGTAGTCGCGCGTGGCGCCAATGTTCTCCCTTGTCCGGCGGCCCCTTCCGGCCTCCTTACAGGTCTCCACCTCCCCTCGTTCGCAAAGAACTTGGTAGCTACCTCTGTCCTCCAGGACCAGTGGGTCACTGTCACCCAACCTGGAGGCGAGCTAGTGGCGACTTGTACGGACTCGCGCACTGGTGAGCACCTCGCCACGTTCACTCGGAGGCCTGGGTCTGGCCTGTACACACTGACCACTGAGTCTCCACTGGTAGCTGAGTCAGGTCAGGTAGCTGCGTCGGTTGAGGTTGCTTCGTCTTGTTTGTGTCGTCTCCTCACGCACCAGACTCTCCTCTGGCACCACCGTCTTGGCCACCCCTCCTTGCCACGCCTGCGTGGCATGCACTCCCGTCTCCTTGTGTCTGGTCTCCCCAGGTCCCTGCCCCCACCACTGCTCCTCTGCAGACCCTGCACATGGACGTGTGGGACCCAGCCCGCGTCACTGGACAGGGTGGCGAGCGCTACTTTCTGCTGGTTGTCGACGACTACACACGCTACACCACGGTCTTCCCCTTGCAGAGCAAGACGGATGTCCGCGGTGTCTTGATCCGCTGGATCCGCGCTGTCCGTCTCCAACTTCGCGCTCGGTTCCAGCAGGAACTCCCTGTCCTGCGGCTTCACTCTGACCGAGGTGGTGAGTTTTGCTCCCGCCTCCTTGAGGACTTCTGTGGTGCTGAGGGCATCGTTCAGTTGTACACGCTTCCAGCCTCTCCACAGCAGAATGGGATTGCCGAGCGCCGCATTGGTCTTGTCATGGAGGTTGCTCGCACCTCCATGATCCATGCGGCTGCCCCCCATTTTCTGTGGCCGTTTGCGGTCCGATACGCCGCTGAGCAGCTCAACCTCTGGCCTCGTGTCTCCCACCCGGAGACCTCCCCCACTTTGCCGTGGACGGGCGAGGTTGGTGATGCTTCGGCGTTTCGGGTCTGGGGTTCCCTCTCTCTTGTCCGCGATTTGCCTGCGGGCAAGCTCTCTCCACGCACTCTTTGGTGCGTGTTCCTTGGCTTTCCCACCGACGCACCGCCCTGGCAGTTTTACCACCCAGGCTCTTGTCGTGTGCTGTCCTCCCGCGACGTCACCTTTGACGAGTCCGTCTGCTTCTACCCTCTTCACCCCCACCGCAGTTCCCCGGTACCCCTCCCGCCTCTCTCCCTGGTGGACGACCCCCCCCAAGTAGCCCCCCTCCCTCCTCCCGGTCCCGCTCCCTCAGGTGTCTCAGGTAGACCCACCCCCCTTGGTTGAGCCTTTGGAGGTCTCCTCAGACACCTCTGGCCCGGCTGAGGGGGGTGACCCGACTCCTGCTGCCACCGTGACCCCTCGCCGCTCTGCACGCTTGGCGGTCCCTCCTGGTTTTCAGCCTCTGCCGTCTTCACCGCCGCTGCAGCCTGTCGCTGTGGACTCTGGTGCTGCAGGAGGTGGTACCACTGGGGGTGTTGGTTCTGGGGGTGCTGGTTCTGGGGGTGCTGAGTGTCCTCTGGGTACAGAGTTACTGGAGGTACTGGTGCTGGTGGTCCTGTTACGAGTCGGCAGGAGGCTCTCTCGCCGGAGCGGCTTCGCGATTGGGCTGTCCAGTGGGGCAGCCCTGGTGGTGGAGCTAGCCGTCTTAGAGCGGGAGGTGCTGGGACTCCTGGAGCTAGAGGTGCTGGCACTGCTGGAGCTGGAGGTTATGCTACTGGTGGTACTGGGGTTGCTCATGCTGGTAGCACTGGTGCACGTCGGCAGGCGACTCTCTCGCCGGAGCGGCTTCGCGAGTGGGCTGTTCAGTGGGGCAGCCCTGGTGGTGGAGCTAGCCGTGCTCGCTCTCCTAGAGCTGGAGGTACTGGAGGTGCTGCTGCTGTGGGTACTACCGCGGGCAGCCCTGGTGGTGGCGCTGGACGTGCTGGAGCTGCAGGTTCTGGAGGTGCTAGCCCTGGAGGTGCTAGTACTGGTGTTCCTGGTACTGGAGGCGCAGGTGCTGCTGGAGGTGCAGGTTCTGGAGGTGCTAGCCCTGGAGGTGCTAGTGCTGGTGTTCCAGGTACTGGAGTCACAGGTGCTGCTGGAGGTACTGGAGGTGCAGGTACTGCTGGAGGTGCTGGAGGTGCTGGCACCAGAGGTACTACTGGAGGTACTGCTGGAGGTACTGGAGTTAGTGGTGCTAGTTGGCAGGAGTCGCTCTCGCCGCTGCAGCTTCGCGAGTCGGCTGTTCGTTGGGGCAGTCCCGGTGGTGGAGCTGGAGGTTCTGGGGGTGCGACTACTCAGCTGCGGCCGTCTGCGCTTCGTCACCTTCTCAGTCTACCGCCTGCTGCTACTGAGTTCCCGGTTGCTGGTTCTACTCCTCCGTTACTGTTCCCACCGACTGACCAGTCACAGCCATAGCTACTGCCTGGCTCCCCGCTGCCTGCTCCTGCTCCTCACACTGAGGTGACTGCGTCCCTGAGTGCGCGTCGTGAGCCTGAGACTCGTGCTTCCAATCCTGAGCGTCGTGAGCCTGAGACTCGTGCTTCCACTCCTGTTCGCGGTCGTCGTGTTGTCTGTCCTCGTGCTCCAGCTGTGCCAGGCACTCACCGTATGGCACTTCGTCCTTCCTCTGTTCCACAGCGTGTTGTCCTGCCGTCTCCTCCTGCGTCTTCCCTTCGTCACGTTCCTGACCCTGAGTCAGACCTTGTCCGTGCTGCCAGTCCGACTGTCATTCGTCTCCTTGCCACGGTTGTGATTGACCCTTCCGTTGCTGAGCTTGTTGACTTTGCTGCTTTGTGCCGCCTTGACTACATTACGAGTCTTGTTTTTTACTCTTCCTGTCCTCCGTCCGTCGGGGGTGAGCTTGCCCTTGGCTGTGACGTTCTTGAGGACAGGCAGTTTGAGCTGGAGTGCCTAGCGGCAGCTGCACCTCATCTCGCATCCACGCTACTTTGCCCTGAGGGAGACCCGGATGCACTGGACATCCCGACCCCGCGCACTTACGCAGAGGCGATCACGGGTTCGAACTCCTCTTAGTGGCAGATAGCCATGGATGCAGAGATGGCTTCCTAGAAGTCCACAGGCACGTACGTCGACGAGGTTCCCCCACCTGGGGCGAACATAGTCGATGGCATGTGGATTTTCAGGGTGAAGCGGCCGCCGGGTTCTCCGCCTGCCTTCAAGGCGCGTTACGTTGCATGAGGCTTCAGTCAGCGTGAGGGGGGTCGACTTCTTTCGGACCTTCTCCCCCACCTCGAAGATGACCGCTCTTCGGGTGCTACTGCACGTTGCAGCACAGCGCGACTACGAGCTGCACTCCCTCGACTTCTCGACAGCTTTCTTGCAGGGCAGCCTTCACGAGGCTGTCTGGTTGCGCCGTTCACGTGGCTTCACTGGGTCGTTTCCTGAGGGTACACAGTGGAGTCTTCGGCGACCAGTCTACGGCCTACGACAGGCACCCCGCAAGTGGCACGACACACTGAGGACTACACTTGCGGCTCTTGGCTTCGATCCCTCGACTGCTGACCCTTCGCTGTTTCTGCGCACTGACACTACTCTGTTGGCGTTCTACATCCTTGTGTACGTCGACGCCTTGGTTTTTGCTACTGCTGACACTGAGGCTCTGGCCTTGGTGAAGGCGGAGCTGCAGGAGAGACACACTTGCACTGACCTGGGTGAGTTGCGGAGCCATCTTGGCTTGCAGATCACCCGGGACAGAGCACGCCGCACCATCACCCTCACTCAGTCACACATGGTGCAGCAGGTCCTTCAGCGCTTCGACTTCACGTGGTCCTCGCCATAGCCCACTCCTCTGTCTACCGGCCACTCGCTCTCAGCTCCACCTTCGGACGAGTCCATAGAGCCGAGTGGTCCGTACCCAGAGCTTGTGGGTTGCCTCATGTACCTGATGACGTGCACACGACCTGACCTCGCATACCCTCTCAGCCTTCTAGCTCGCTACGTGGCTCCCGGTAGACATCGAAAGATGCACTGGGATGCTGCGAAGAGGGTACTGTGTTACTTGTGCAGTACATCGGGCATGGGGCTCGTGCTTGGAGGACCGAGTTCAGTTGTTCTCACCGGTCACTCAGACGCTTCTTGGGTTGACGACCAGACGACTCACCGGTCGACACAGGGGTACAGCTTTAGTCTCGGGGCTGGTTCTGTCTCGTGGAGGTCCACTCGCTCTTCTTCTGTCCTTAGTTCCAGCTGTGAGGCCGAGATCTACGCTGGGGCTATGGCTGCACAGGAGCTCCGCTGGCTGACCTACCTGCTGACCGACTTGGGTGAGCGGCCTCGTTCTCCTCCAGTTCTGTACGACGACAACACGGCCATGATTGCCTTGTGTCAGGACCAGAGACTGGAGCAGAGAACGAAGCACATTGCTCTCCGTTACTTCCTCACGCGACAGCTGCAGCAGCGTGGTCAGCTTCGTCTTGCTTACGTGGCCACACGGGCCAACACTGCTGATGTCTTCACCAAGGCCCTTGGGTCTAGTGATCATCAGCGTTTCTGCACTGCTCTTGGGCTTGTGCACACTCTGCCTCACTTGCTTGTCTCTTGATCTTGCTCTTGTTGTACACTGATATATATGAGTATACCTGCATGCTTACACTTGCTAGGTTGTGATCAGTGTACTGCTCTTGCTAATATAAACTCTGCATGTGAACTGGCCTGGTG